CTAAAATATATAATAATTTTCAGCAGTAACCTTAAATCTCGCCGCCATGTATGAAGGTTGTTTGTGCTATTGTTGTAGGTTGATCATACAATCATTACCTACCTGGTAGACCCTGATGGAAAATTCGTTGATTACTACGGCCAACGCCGTACCGCTGAAGAGATCGCTAACGTGATTCGGACGAAGATGATTATCTTTGAAAAAGGAAAGAAAAAGACATGGTTTTGAAACATTTTGTCCTCCGGTTTTGTGACATTCGACGAGCATCGCGTTTATTGCCTTGCCAAAACTGTATTACTTTTTTGCTTAAAATTAATCCGCGCTTTATGCGTAACGTGTTGTTTTAACTTATATTAAAAAATTATGAGTCAAGTAAAAAAAGCTGTTACATTCGGTGGATCGCATTAGAGTTACGCGTGGAAGAAGGGATAGGTGCATTTGATTGTCCTTAGGCAGGTCGTAGTCTGACTACTTTATAAAATCCAATGTTACAGTGATTGTTTACAATGGATGAATTTTATTTTGAATCATTTTTAAATAGAAACATTGCAACTTTGCCGTCTCAGTGTACGACCTCTTGCCTTTTCGTTGCGTTGGTGGCATTCCTATTCTCCATGAAAATATCTCCTTTTGCAAATTTCATGAATGCCCTAATATTACTAAACATCTCTGACACCATAAACAATGGTTGTCTTTTATCGGATTTTAATAAAGCACAATACTAATGAGTTGTTCGCCTTTCCTATGCAGGAAAACAACAATTACGACAGAAATTTTAAACTGGCTTAAAGCACCTTAAAATAGGTTGATATCGATGTTGTACGCGTGTGTATCTCAGACACTTATGTTCTGCAAGAGCGATGCGAAAGAACTGAGAAAGCTTTATTCTGTTTGTAATAATGGTTATACTCTTGATTTAACAGCTCTGTATTCAATTACGTAAGGTTAATGATATCTTTATCAAGATTTGTTTTATCAGGCGATACTGTAACTTGGAAATGTTCGACCATTTGTACAGTGAAAAAGTGTTTCGAGGGCACGTATAAAATGCGTCCAACAAGTTATTGCGAATTAAGGTTGGAAAACGAATGACTGATTTTAAGAGTCATTGTGAAACGACCATTTGCAAAACGGATAAAAAAGCCATTTCGTCGTACAACGGCAGATTAATAAAATAAACTATGGAAGAAACTAGAAACATGAAGAAATAAAACGAAAGATTAACAGTGGGAAAACGACAAATTTTACCTCTCAATCTAGAAGACGGGATTGTCATAAGGGATAAACAAGAGATTCTAAGAACAATGGAAGATAAAACGTACAAAGATGAAAACAGCAACACCCTGAATGACGATAAGGAATGTGAAAATGCAAATTAGGCTGGCTAAATAGCAAATACCTTGCCAACATGAAATAATGCAGGCGGAAAGAGGAATGGTCTTGGCACAAGTAGAACTTCAATATAAATTGTTGGGTCAAGAGCGGAGGTATTGATAAGGTTATCACCGCGTTCGTTCTAACGCTGTTTGAAGGCAGCAAAAATTTCAAACGATTGGACTAGCGCATCAGTAATTCCGCCAGACAAGAGAAAAGATAACGAAGATTTTGAAAACGATACAGTGGCAAGTCTTGCGAATCATCTGCAGGATCTGCATGAAGGTACTAACGAATAATCTACAAAAGTAAGTGAAAAGGAACCAGCAGGATTAATAAATGGATTTATTACTACGGATTATCTTCAGGTAGTACAACGATAGATTCAAACAAGCAACAATTATTAACTTCTCTCCATGGGGTTCGCCGAATTTTGGAAGATTTCGACTTCTGCTACGCTTCTGGATTCTTCTACTTCAATATTGGATTCTTTGGGGTCAGGGAACCAATGAAAGAAAGAAACTGCATGAACATTAAAGAATGTAAATGCTAGTGTGAAGCTTCAGGCATGCACGAGCAAAGTCAAAATCGAATAGGTCGTTCGGCCGGGTGGCACAACGTCATCGAAGAATTCTGAGCATCACTGCAAACCTAGAAAAGGTTCAAAAGCAGTCGTTTAGGACTAAACTTAAATAAGTGCTACTTAAGCCACAAACAGATTGCGGACAACATTCTGATGCTCTGCAGGTCATCAGAAGAATTCAAAAGAAAAATTCAAGAACTGAACGGCGCTACCGCAAAGTAGGACTGAAAATGAACCTGAATAAGACTAGGATTATGTTTAACTAATACGTGAACCACACGACCTGTTGAAGCCAGCAGATTTAGCTTGAAGAGGTGCAAAATTATGTTTATCACGAACGACTTATATCTCCAACAGAACTGGTCATGTGAAATCAACAGAAGAATTAAAATGGCGTGCAGTAATTTTGGAATGTTAAAAATGCTCGTTTCAGAAACAGCCCTTGTGCTTGAAACGGCAAGTTTTCGGTCACTCTGTGCACCCACTGCCATCCATGCTACAATACAGCATGTGGACACTAAAGTTTAAAACTGTATATAAACGTTAGGTTAGGCAATGGACTGTGGAAATGTGTTGTGTTGAGAATAATTACCGAAATGAAACGCTAGTCTACAATGTGACTGTATGAATGAAGACGTTAAAATGACAAACGGTTGGACATGTTACAACAAGAAAGAGAACACATGTCCCGCAAGTAGACCTCTGGATGAAGATGAGCTGAAGAAGTTGATTGGATAACGATGGAAAAAATCGCGATAAAACGACACCGCAGATTAATAAAACAATAAAGTGCTTAAATAACACTTGTATTGAATGCGCTTGGTTTCATAATATCCCAAAGGTCAGTGGAGAAGATAATCCATTCCAAAGTAATATGAGCAGAAATTAGATATCATCCCACTCACACCCGAAAAAGTGCCAATTAAGCTAACAGCAACCATACCATATTCTCGATCATCACGATTAACAGAGCACGCCAGCACCTAAGGAGAGCGATTCGTATGAACAGTACACTGCGGTTTCTATGTATTATTACTCGCAGCAGATATCCAGATTCGCATGCATCTCTTGCAATATCACTGATACAGAAAAGAACCAATCTAAAAGCGACGAATGGACAAAACATACATCAGCGATTGCTCATAAACTCGAAGGAGGTGTCGCATCGAATTGATCCCGGCTGTCCTCAATTACTACAGCAATAACGTACACGTAACAGCCAACCAGAAATATTGCACAACGACTTACAGACACAGGAATCAGCAGCACGTTTAAATAGTGTCCGTCTGAATTTGCACAGAAACAGTGCTTTATCATGAAATCGCATTATGAAACTGAACACAGACACCGCGTTACGATATAACTAAGGGTTTCGGGATGCACGCCTGAAAGTCGGTCAATAGCAAAGCCATATAACGAAAGCATATTACTGCCATATCTGTTCCAGCTACACACGCCGCCGCTTGCTCTAAGTCTCGAGAGCTACAAATAAAAGGAGGGCGCCGTGATGGCGACCGACACGACAAATAAACAGGACGTAGCTACATGGAATCGTACTGTTTATATATCTACATAGCACCGTATTTGCTCTACGCCATATTTCTGGCAAATAGTGGGTGTTCGTCCATCCGGTGTACATGCGCCTTGTTGACTTACAGAGAGCTTATGATTGGATCCCGTGCAACAATCTATGGGCATGCCTGCGAACACATGAAATAGATGGCCAGTTGCTACGGGAAATCCAATCACCATATCCTGATACCAGGTGCTGCATCGGAGTAAATGCATCAGAGTTGTCACTGGTCTCCGCCAAGTCTGTGTTCTGTCCACTCTTCTGTTTGAGTTGAAAATAGAGAAAAAAATCAGGTGCAGCCGAAGCAATGAATGCATCGGTGTAGAAAGTGTCGAGATGATATGGTTGACATTTGCAGACGACCTTGTTTTATTAGCATCTTCTGAAACTGATCTCCAGTGCTCCTTAGAAAGGTTCGCA